AACTTTCATCAGTAGATAATTCCTTTATTAAACTTGAAACTGAACCCAACCCGCTGCTAGGAAGCTACGACAGGGCTCATGTGAGGTTTGTCCAAACCATTGACATTATTGAACCTAGAAATCCCAAGAAAGTACCAAAGCAAAGACCGCAGAGTTTTTATCTAGTTTTGTTCTTAGGCCCATTTGATGTAAGATTTTTTGAGAATATACTTTATGGAAAATCATATTTTTGAAGAAATTGTGACTAAAAAGTAGGAAAAATTATGGATTCATTTGTAAAAATTTTTTAATGTGAGAATGTGTGATAGAAAATTAATTTGTATAAAAATGAGTTTTAGAAAATGTATACCATATAAAAAATTAAAAGTCCCGCAACCGAGTTGAGATCTACTTTGATGGAGTCTCAAATACTAGATTTTCACTCGATTTCAAGGTTTAGAGTTCAAAAGGATGATTACAACAAACAATTACCCCTTTATCGGGGCCAAGATGTGTCCGCTGGCATATACTAGATCACTTTATCATTTTTCTTTAAAAATACTAGAAATTAATAAAAATCAATAGAATAAAATGGTTTTCATTTTTCTTTAAACCAGGTATTGTTTAGTAAACCCTTTTTTTGTTCAGTTATAATTTTATAAAACTTCTTGTTTATGGTTTCAGGTTATGAAGTCATTAATCAAGTATGTGCATGTGAATAAGAAGAATTTAGAAGTTAAGACGGCGTTGGATATCCTAGAACCTGAAATTTTTGAAGCAAGGAAAATTTTAATAAGCGCAGGAGCTATAGAAGGTTCATCACTTGATGATGCCACCAGTTGTGAAAATTATTTGAAGTCACGTGCAATGACTATAGAACATTTTTTTAAATTCGGTGCTTACATGGATTTCGGTGTGTCAGGGAATATGCGAAACGCTATCCTAGTAGTAGTTGTGCTTATTGCAACTGCTACGTTTCAAGCCATTCTTACTCCCCCTTTTGCGATTTCTCACAATGATACCCATCCTATTTGTCCCAGCATCACTTCTGTTTATAATGATACTACTACTCACAATGATACCACTCCTGTTTTTCCCAGCATCACATTTGTTTATAATGATACTACTTCAACCAATTCAACTAGCACCAACTTCAACAAAAGAACCCCAAGCGTGGGAAAAGAGAGTATAATTTTCAACTCAATCGCATTTGGGCTTGCAATGGGAACGTGTGCAATACTTACACTAAGTCCACTGCAAGTATTTCTCTCGCTACCTCTCTCTCTATTTTCGGTAAGCTATGCTGCATTGGAATATGAAATATACGCAGGTCCTTTTATCTTGGTTGCAGTTGTGTCATTAATCATACTGCCTTACTTGGTGATACTTCCCTGGATGATCATCAAATTAAGATCGCAAATAAGTGATGAGATCTACCACGAATACAACCTTGATGAGGTGAAATTTCTCATGTTTTGTAGCACAGCTATGAATCAAGGACCCATAGTGACTTGGATGGCTGCAAGGAAAGCATCACGATGAAGGCACTGCATCAAATGTTCTGTCATGTCCCTCAATCAATATTGCAAAAAGCACATCTTAGTGCGCAATGTCTTACTCTTTTAATTTTCATGTCTTGCTTGAGGAAGTTTTTAACTTCCGTTTAAGCTGTAATAACTTAGCGTCTATATAAGCCTCTGTTTGCGAAAAAAATTATAAAAAATAAGTAATGGACAATTGGTTATACTTGTCGATCCATTAGAATGTGTGATTG